AGGGTGGAATTTTAGACTTTAATTTTAGATAAGTTAAATTTAAGTGGTCACATGTGGCAGTTCACTGCCTGTCGGGCAGTCCTGCCTATCGACCCAGAGCAGTGTTATCCCAAGTGTAAATGTGAAGCCTTCTCTAAGGTGCAGAATCAGGCTCAGTCCGTCGGTCTCGGGTGAGGCCGAGACTGTATTCAGGCTGTCTACAGGCCACACTTGAATGACAAGGCCTTAGAAAGACCCGGATGGCCTAGTCTGTCCACTCACTGCCAGGGCTGGGACTGCAAGGCTGGGGCTGGGGTCTGCCCTAGTGAGTTCCTGGATGAGAGCAAGAGTAGGAGAAGGATTCCATTTGAGGGCAAGTCTGCGAACCTTTTCCTGTTCCAGAGGTTAAAAAAACACCCAAACCTAGCCACTTGTACAGGGCATGTGTCCTGTATGTATGTTACCCCCTTTCTGGGGTAGGAGCAGGTAAATAGGCAGAGAGAAAGATCAGGTGGCTTGCCCAGCCCCTCAGTGTATTCAAAAGGGAAAGAGGCTTCGGGATCATCCAGGCCAAACCTGGCACCTGGGCTTTGCCTGTGATGCTGGTGTGGTGAAGCCTAGGCCTGGCTGCTGCATGGGTGACTTTGTAAGAGAAGCTGTCTGTTTTAATGGCTCATTTTGCTGTCTGTTTTAATGGCTCATTCAATGGGTGAAAAGTGTGTAGCTGCCAAAATGTCATTGCATGGAAACAGCCATGTGAAGGATGGTGGCTCTGTCAGCACTTGGGAAACAGGCAGGAGGATCCTGAGTTTGAGGCCAACCTGGGCCAACCAAGATATGCTGAGACTTTGTCTCAAAGCAAACAAAGCAGAAGGTGGTTTCAGCTTAGGTGAGGAAACTTGTGTAAGTGGTCCATCTCTCTTTCCCCAGTCTTTCTAGTTTGTGCTTGAAGGTCATAAATGCCTGATGTTGCATCTGTTTCCCATTGGAGACTGTCAGGGTCCCCACAAGAGGGCCCAGCTGGCTTACTGTCACTTTCTGTGCTCCTGAAGAAACAGCTGTCTGGTGGACCTGACTCAGGCTGGGTGCTTCCAGACCCAGTTACTCAGGGCAGACCTGGCCCTGAATAGTAGAGTTAGGCCCAGGACTTGTGAGGGTTCGTGGCATCCACTAGACCCAGTGGTTCTGATTATTGGAGAATGGTCTTAGAAAAGAATTTTGATGAGGATAGGTCTCTGATAATTATGTAATACATTGCATTTGACTACCTTTTTTGATAGAAAAAACCTTTAATGTCCTGCAACATTAAATACCTTTCATATACAAGATGTAATTTTATTAGATAAGAATTTATTGAGCACTTCCTCTGTCCACAGCATTGTTCTTTCCTTGTAAGCAGGAAGTACACGCAAGTAGTAGTCTCCATCGTGAGGAACAGTTTGAATTGGCAGGTGCAAGCTGAACAGAAACTGCGTTAGTAAATGTAAATCGTACAACTTTAAGACTGGACAGTGTGGCAAGAGTGAGGAAGGAACTGCCAAGCAAGTCCATGGTGGGCCACAGGGTGCTCAGGGAAGAGGGAGGAGGTGGGGTAGCAGCGGGGAGGTGGCTTGTCGGGAACACTGGGGCTCTGTTGGCCCAGTGAGGATGGGCCATGCTGCCAAATGAGCGAGTCAGATGTTGCACCAGCAGCCCACAGTGAGGTTTAAAGGACCAAGAAGGGCTCCGTGGTGCTATCCTATCAGGACAGGGGACTTGGGTCCAGTGGGATTTCTCTGTGACAGGAAACCCAGGGCAGTGGGAGTTTCAGTTCTTGGCCTTCCACTGTGCGTTGGGTGTCTGGTGACCACCAGGGCTGATGCTGTGCCCAGTGCCAGAGAGCATGAGGTTGCGTTGAGTGACCTGTGTGGGCCAGGGGGTGGTGGCGAGGCTGACAGCAGAGAAGCTGGCAGGAGAGCAGGCCAGGCTCACTGATGTGTTGTGCCTGCCGGTGAGGCTTAAAGGGACACGAATTTCAGGTGACCTGTGAGGTGTCTAAAGAGACCTTTTGGGAAGCAGTCAGTTTAGAAGCAGAGGCTAAATGTCATTTATTGAAAGTTTCCTTTTGCTCTTTGGTTTACTGTTAGTAACCTTCAGTGTTGTTTAGAAATTAAAGGTGAAGTCATTTTATTTTTCAAATTGCTGTGGTTCTGATCATCCAGTAAGGGCTCAATTTGTAGACTTCACATGTCATCCTTAGTCTTTAAAGCAATCATGCCAAGCTCTAAATACTGCACAGAGCAGACACACAACCCAGAATAGATCAAAATTAGGACAAGGGTGTGAAGTGACACCTAGGCAGTGAAGTATTGCCATCTTTTGATACCCTGAACTTGGAAGTACAGTTCTGCTGTCCGGGAAATGTATGTGTTTGTTGGTAGTGCTTAGAGGTAGAATACTGTGTAGTGGAAATTGCTATTAAGCTGGTATTTCCCTCTTTTGACTTCTTAGAACAGATTTTGCCAAGCTTTTTCTATAGAGTCAAATAGTAACTATTTTGGCCAGTTTATCTACTCCTGTTTTCTGTTGCATGCAGTGTGTAAGTAAATGAATGTGGCTGTGTTCCAGTTAAAGTTTGAAGCTAGTCACAGGCCAGTTTGGCCCATAGACCTTAGTCTGCCAACTTCGTTTCTAGAGGATTTAAAGCCCCTACTTTTCTTTTGCTTTAAGATCAGGAGGGACCAGTGAAATAGCTCAGTTATAAAGTACCTGCTTAGGCAAACTTAGGAAAGTGCAGGGACCATGGTTTGATCCCCAGCACCACGTGCTGCGCCAGACCTGCCCCTAGGGCAGGCTGACTTGGCCACAGAGTCTGGGCATAGTGGTGCACACCTGTAATCCCAGCACTGGGGAGGCTGAAACAGGAGGATCACCAGAAGTCCGAGCTGTGCATTAAGACCCTGCAACTACCAAATACATTAAAAAAAAAAACCAAAAAACAAAAAACCAGGAAATACTAATTTTGCTAGTATCTGTTAATATTTTTGCTTCCCATTTAAATTGTAAGTTGTTCTCGCTCCTGTATCATTTAGCTGTACACCAGGCAGATTATAAAAAATACACCTGTTGTCCCTCTGACTCCATTCCAAGAGCTGTTTCCCCTTCTGGAACCCAGTGTGAAGTGCTGTGACACATCTCTTATCTGGGTCTCTTAACAGCCCAGACAGAGGAAGATAGGATAGGTGTGTCCAGCCCTGTCTAGACCATGTGGCTGAGGCTGGGAAGGGGAAGAGAATGTCTTTTTTGTATAGTCAGTGAACGACAAAGAGTTGGATCTGTTTTCCCTTGTACTAGTGAGCTGTGACCTTTAATTTTCTGAAAACAGAAAATGCTTACCTTTTAATCTTCTTGTCTTAGTGTCTGTAGTTTTCTCCTGAGTTTTAACTGTTCAGTTTTAAGGTTCAGCACTCAGATATTCCTTCTCTTTTGGCCCAGAGGATCATTTCTGTTCCTCTTGATATGTACAGCGTCTCTGTGCTGAGAACACTTTGTTCATATGTAGAAGTGGATTTTACCTGCTCCAACTCTGCTAGTGGTGGTTAGACAGATGCATATATAAGCAAAAATTCACCAAGGTGCAGCATGTCTTATTTGTGTACTTTAAAATTATGTCAAGTTTTTTATTTTGCGGGGCTGGAGCTGCATATGGTGCTGGGGATTGAACCACAGTCTCTGCACTTGCCTAAGGCGATTTAGCCTGCTGAGCTATTTCGCTGGCCCCCAAGTTTTAAGAATTAACTGGAAAAAGCTTAAATTGTCTCTGTCTTTTTCCTTTTGGCAGGCTTGCCCTCCTCCCCACTCCCCACTCCCCACTCACTGAAGGTCATTGAGATGCTTGCTTCATAGGATTGAGAGGCCAGCCCGGCAGTTCATGAAAGCCATCTGGGCATTTGTGTGGTCTGTGATTACACCAGTGGAAGTGGGTGCTGGCAGTTTTTAAATTGATCCTGCTGCCAAGCCCTGTGTTCTGAGGCCCTTGTGTGCGATGACATTTGCAGGTATGCCATTAGGCACAGTATTCTGCTAGGCATGTTGATGCTCCACATTTTGATTTTTGTATAATTTTTTGTCCCTACTGTGTTCAGAGTATTTTATAAATGAACAGGATGCTAGAATTTCAAGGAAGATGGCACATATACCCTGTTATTTGTTGCATTGCTTTTTATTGAGTTATATGACTTGGTTTATATAAAGAATGATACATTAAAAGTCAGCTGACAGCCGCCGTGATAGCTCAGCAGACTAAGCGCTGCTCAGCAAGCGCAGGGACCCGGGTTTGATCCCTGGCACCACATGCCATGCCGGTCCCGCCCCTGGGTGCACCGAGCTGGCCACTGAGACCTGGTATGGTGGCACCTGCCTGTAATCCCAGTGCTGGGGAGGCTGAAACAGGAGGATCACTATGAGTCTGAGCTGTGTGATGAGACCCTGCACCAAATACATGAAATAAAATAAATAAATGTCAGGTGACACCAAGTGAAGTTCTTTCTCTCACAGAGTGCTCCTTCCTTTGGGAGTGAGTCTGTAGGGAACAGCAACAGCTACTCAGGTAATCACGCTTCTCTTTGCCTGGATTTCCCTGGAGGCGAGATGGGGCGTACCACAGTCAGGGGACTCCCCAAGAGCATGTACAAATAAAAATAAGGTTTCTCTTTTTAAAAATGTTGGGAGATTCTTCACCTTGTTTTGCTGCTGCTTAGTTTGTCATTGAGGAACACAGCATGTGTGTCTTAACTTGTAAACGGGCAGGTAGTGAGCCAGTGTGAGCTGCATGCTGAGACCCTGTCTCAGAAGCAGTTATTTACTTCTCTTTTGGGCAAATATTTTTTGTTGTCATTCATATGACAAATATATGAGTAAATAGGAAGATATTTACTCAGTGTAATTATAAAATGTATAAAATATTCTATAAAATAATGGTTAGTAATTTCCTTGCTGTGATTGTTTTATATTAAACTAATTGTTGCTTTCTCTGTTTTTAGCTCCGGGCTCAGAATCAGGTCCTTAAAAAAGGTGTTGTGGATGAACAAGCAAATTCTGCTGCTTTAAAGGTATATAGTGGGGTCTTGTGCAATGAAGATTACCTTAGGGTTTGGTGACAGTCCCAGTGAACAAGTCAGCTGGTTTTCAGGGCTAAAGTCTCAGCTCTGACGCCAGTGCCCTGAGTGTAGGGGAGGGTAGTGCTGTCTGTGTTTAACTTTCTTACTTGCTTAGGTATGGAGATTATAATTTTTATTTCCTCAACTACAAATTACAAAAAAAGTAACTTTATGTAATGTATTTCTTCTCTACCTCATGTCATGTGTTTGGCCTAATCTATTTGAACCAAGAAGGCCTGGGCCCCTCCACTCGGCAATGTGAGCACCTCTGCCATAGTCACGTTGGAACCCCATTGTTTACAGAATTTGGGGCTCTGATCTTGCCTGTATTGCGCTGTTTCACAGTGATTACCTGTGTTCTGAATACTGTTTGAGTGATACATTTTACCATCAGCACCATTGTTCACCAAGGAGAGAAATGTGATGGAGTGAAGGGATTTGCTTCTACCTTATTCTCATAGGCGTGTGGTAAATGCTGCTTAGTGATATTTTTAAATGGCTAAATTGATTCCAGTGTATATTATTCTTCCAGGCTTCAGTTAAGTATCCTGCTGGCCTCATGCTTCAGCTATCTCTCCTCTCTTGGCCCAAGAGGGGGTTAGTTAGGACTCCTCTGCTCTTAGTGGAGTAGTCCTCAGCTGTGACAGGTCCTGCTGGCTCCCTTCAGGTGGCCGAGACCCAGAAAGATGTCCTGTCACTCAGCCAATGTTGGCTGACGCTCTGGAGAGATGTCGCTGTGAGAGAGCCCTCCTCAGTGTTGTCCCTGCAGCCTCCAGGCCGAGCCAGCTCAGGAAGCTGCACCCATGCTACAGATCTTTTATAATAGCCGCTGTGAGATGCAGGGGGCGGGGGGTGGTGGTGAATAAAGGGTTAAGATGCAGTGTTTCCCTGCGCCAGCCCCCCCCCCCCAGGTGTGTACCACAAGTGCACTAGTGCAAAGCACACAGACAGAAAGCCGCAGTCCTTAGAGCTCTGTGCACAGGACTTGGGAGGCACAGAGGAAGTAGTCATTATCTTTCCGTTAATGTTTGACACCTGTTACTGGGAAAGTAGCCCCTTGCCTGTTGGAGTGGCTGCTCTGTTGTTTGACAACCTGTGTTGCTCGTTGGCTCTGACTGTGTGGTGGCAGCGCCTTCCTGCATTGGCCGTGGGAGTGATGGTGACCACTGGGCCATCTGCGCCCCGCCCACTCAGTGCCAGGCATTGTGCTGTGTGCACTGTAGCCATTATCTGAGGAGGTGTCCACGCTGCTCTGTGGGAATTAGTGATACCCTCATGGTCCCTAGCTGAGGAGCTGGAGTTTACAGAGAGGCCTGATGGAGAACTACTGAAATTAACCATTGGTAGGGAAGAAAGCATTAGTCATCTAGTTGTAACTCATAACAAAGTAGTGACTTTTTATTATCCGTTACAATGGCCATTGTAGTCAAAGTACACTGACAGTTGCCCGTTGGCTAGCAAAAATATTTGATCACAGGGGGCTTTTCCATTTTGGCTTTGCCTCTTTAGTCAGTTGCTGGGCATGGTACATATTCATTGATTTGTGTAGTCTAGACTGACCTTGAACTCATGGTGATCCTCCTGCCTCCCCTGAGTGCTGGGATTATGGGCATCCACCACCATGCTTGGCCGAAAATGCAGCTTTATGCATTAGGAGCGTATTGTTCCGCCCCAAAGTCGCTGCTTGAGCATGCAAACCCAGCAGCATCGGTAGACTACAGAAGTCAGCCTGCAGTCCTTAGTTGCTGTTTGAACCTAGTGAAGTCATCTTCTCATTAAAATCTGGCTTCTTAGCTTTCTAGTTGTTTCAGTGAAAGTCATGAAAGTGGTTCTTCAAGTATACAGTAGTGTGTGGCCATCTGTGTTTGATTATCAGTGGACAGGCCAGAAATATCAGAACATCTAAGTGAAATGCAGTTAGAAGAGTTTGTTTTTGTTTCCTGGTACTGGAGATTGAACCTGGGGCCTTCACACTGAGCCAGGGCCGCAGGCTTTTTAAACACTTTTGGAGACAGGGTTATGCAAGTTCACTACACCGCCCAGGCTGGCTCAAGCTTGCATTGTCCCTCTCCAGCCCCGGAGAGCACCATGATGCCGGCGTGTGCTGCCACGCCTGTGTAAGAGCATGCTTTTAAAAATCGGATGAAACTAAGTATTTCTCCTTAGATTCCCATTTTCTTAGCACACTATAGTAGACATGATGCAAATTGGTCAGCAAACAGTGTGTTTTTAGATTTTGTTTCTATTTTAACTTAATTTTTTTTTTTTTTTTTTTTTTTTTCAGAACTGGGTATTAAACTCAGACCCTTGTGCTTGCCAGGGAAGCACTTACTCTACTGAGCCATCTCCCTGGCCCTATTTTAACTTAGTTTTAAGGTGAATTGATGTAGATAGGGGTGTGTGTGTGTGTGTGTGTGTGTGTGTGTGTGTGTATTTGAGACAGGGTCTTGCTACATACTGCAGGTAGGCTTTGGACTTGCTATGTAGCCTGGGCTGGGCTTGAACTTGGCATCGTCTTGCCTCAGCCTCATGAAAGCTATGAAAATGTTTTTGTGTAATCATGAAACTGATTTTTATCTTTGACAGATTTAAATAAAGTTTGTAAAAAGTGGCTTCATTTTAGGCTAGGGTGTATAGCTCAGCGGTGCGGCACTTCCCTAGCATGTAAGGTCCTAGGTTAGGATCAATCCCTAGCATCACAAAAAGCAAAAAGAAAACTTTATTTTGATGGATTTAAATTCAGAGGATTTATTGAAAAAAAGAAATATCAAGGTATTTTTTCCTCTTTTTGCTTACTGAAGGGTATCATTAGTAAATCTGAGGGGGCTGAGGAGACAGCTCAGTAGAATAAGCGCTTCCCTGGCAAGTACAAGGGCCTGAGTTCAATCCCCAGTTCTGGGAAAAAAAAAAAATTAGTAAATCTGAGGTTCTATCATGAGTAAATTAGATTTTTAAATTTAATTATTTTTTAATAGTACTGGGGGCTGAGTCCAGGGCTTTTGCATTGAATTTCACCCACAGCCTTTTATTTACTTTTTATTTTCCTTTTTGATCTTGCCAAGTCACTGCATGCCCAGGTTGGGCTTGAATTGAGGTCCTCCTCAACCTCCTGGCGTGCTGAGGTCGTGCTGTGCACTGTGACGCCTGGCCGATTTGTAGACTTGTGTCTCTTTGCTGTCTGCTGTAGAATTAATATCTCATTTGGGGTATTTTACTTTAAATTGTTGTCAACTTGTTAAAAACAAAAACTGAAATGATAATGCAATTTGAATTCTCTAAAGTGAGGTTTGGTTATGCTTTGGTGAAACAAAGGTCATTTTTTCTTATTTCTAAACCTCAAGGCTAATCTGTGAAGAATGATCTGTTTTCACTTCTGTATAGGAACAGCTGAAAATGAAGGATCAGTCACTGAGGAAACTACAACAGGAAATGGACAGTTTGACATTTCGAAATCTACAGCTTGCCAAGAGGGTGGAACTGCTTCAAGATGAGCTAGCGCTGAGTGAGCCTCGAGGCAAGAAGAACAAGGTTGGTTCCACAGGGCCAGTGTGGCCTCGGGCGGGGCCGCAGCGGTGGAGCAGGCTGCCTCCAGTGTGTCTCCTGCTCTAGGACCATATCTGGGCGGCGAGTCGGGAAGGCAGATGTTGCTTTTAACACATGCCAAATGTCAGGGGCACAGGGGCATATTCACGCAGAAGCCGCTGATAAGGAATTAGCTCTGACATGCACTTGGTTGCTCCAGTGGCTGAGAAGTCTGTGGAATGCCTCATATTGTTCAAATGCAAATACCATTTAAGAAGTTATACCCGGGGGCTGGTGAGATGGCTCAGTGGTCTAAAGCACCTACTTAGAATAAGCTTAGCAAATCACTGGGACCACGGTTCAATCCCCCAGCACCACATGCCAGCCAGCCCCGCCCCCTGGTGGGCTGAGCTGGCCACACACACACACACAAATAAAGTTTAAAAAAAAACAAAAAACAAAAGAAGTTATACCAGGCTGCCATTGACCTAAGTTGGGACAAACAAAATGAGAGATAGTGTCAAGTTATCCATGTATGTGAAAGTAACAGTAGAAACACCCATAGGTTTCAGGTTAGGTTTGTAGTTTACTTCTGTGTATTTGCTTAGTGTTTATTCTTATGAGGCTAGTGTAGTATGCTTTTCTGGAGATTTAAAAATAAATGTTTTCTTTTTTTTTTTTTAATATGGTAAGGCAAGAGTTTATGCTCTGAGACAGACACTTTGGTGGTTAAGTTGCTTCTTGGTGGGGCTGGGGTATGGCTTACTGCTGCGGTCTCTGAGGCGAGTGTGGGCGGCGCCATGCCCTACAAACCTCTAAGCACAGGGTACCTGGCGGGGCGCAGCGTGTGTGCAGAGGGCATTGCGCAGGCCCCAGAGTTTCTCCCTGGCCTGAAAGCCTTGTCTGATAATTAGAAACCTGTGTCTTGGGCAGCTTTTTAGTTAATTAATTATTATATATTTGATATAGGGACTCACTACGCAGCTCGGACTCAGTGATCCTCCTGTTTTCAGCCTCCCCGGCGCTGGGATTACAGGGGTGCACCACCACTCCCAGACTTGGTGGCTGGCTCAGTGCGCCTGGGAGTGGGGCTGGTGTGGCATCTGGTGCCAGGGATTGAACCCTGGTCCCTGCACTTGCCTAAGCAGGCGCTTGTCCCCTGAGCTATCTCGCTGCCCCTAGGTCTATTTAGTGAAGGCATGGGTAACTCATACGGATTTGTTTCAATTAAAGTTTTCCAAATTTGGAAACACTGAAGACCCCATACAGGTCATTCCATAGTGTTCCTGTTGCATCTCTTGTTCACACATCAGGGTGGTTAAGGTTTTTGTTTTAATTTTATGTAGCTGTTCGTCTTCATAGGGCCTTCAGTCCCTGACTTGCATGAAGTCAGCAGGTGACTTCATTTTAATTGAAGATACAGAAAAGGCAGGGGCAGGGTGGTGACCAATGTCTGAACACAGCCCCATTGTTAGTGTGTCCCTGGAAGAGTCTCAGTTGGATGGATTACAGGAGGACAAATGTGCATTATTAGAGCTTTTAGAGAGTGGCATTCTTCTAATATAAAAAGCTAATATTGCAGCAAAGCAAAAGTAAGGGGTTTCTCATAATGTTTGAACTTTTTGTGTGTTTATAGTAGTTTTATTTTACATTTTTTTTTAAATTTGGAAGTCCAGATGAAATTCTGTATAAAATTATCTCTGTGAATGCTGTTATATCTAATTTCTTAAAGGAGTTTAACAACTCTGCCTTACAGAATTATTAAAACTCCGATTTTCCAAACCAAAAGATCAAATTAAAATGATATTCATTAGTATATTTACATTGCTGGTTTCCTGAGTCTGTTGTGTCTTCCAAAAGATTTCTGAATTCACCTGCAAAAAATAATGACCTCACCTTTTTCCTTCTCTGTCTTTGCTGTGTCTCTAAGCTTTCCACCCTTTGCAACATTTACAGTTCCGCTTTGTGTCCGTAGAAAAGTTCAGTGCTGGACCGTGTGCCTTCCTCAGGGTTGTCTGAGAGTGCTGGATGCGCAGAGGAGCCTGCTGCTACAGCGTTAGAGCGTCTGTGCACCCTCGCGTGTGTCTCTAGAGGATGGAAGTGGTGTGGACCTAACTTGTTCTTTCCATCAGAAAAGCGGGGACTCTTCTTCCCAGCTGAGTCAAGAGCAGAAGAGCGTCTTTGATGAAGATCTGCAGAAGAAGATAGAAGAGAACGAGCGGTTGCACATACAGGTGGGGAGAGCTTTCAGTTTTCTTCATGTCAGTTCTTAAATGGGTGACGTGGTCTAGAAGGCAGAAAAGGCCAGTCAGGCGGAGTGCTTCGTGGCCGGGCTTTACCGTCTCCTGTGTTGGCGTGTATGTCAGAGTCATCTGTTCGCTCTTGGATCTCGTACACATCTTTGAAGTGTATGCGTTTTCAGTGAACAGCAGGGTAGCTTCGTAACTTAATTCAAAAATATACTTTATGGTATATATTCATTTTATGCAGGAAGTGGTAAATATATAAAATATAGAACTTTTATGTTATATATTCATTTTACACAGGCTCACTGAGGTGGGGCCTTGTCCATAAGTAGGATTTGCTTTTTAATGTATTAATGTTGGTTTTTATCAGCACGCCTCTTCGGCCGTACGGTCCGCAAGAGTGTAGACCAGGTATGTTTTGTATACCCAGCTCCTAGGCAGAGCCTACCTTAGGACAGTCACTCAAATTTCATGCAGTGTTGAAAAGTTAATACATTGAGCAGCACTGCCCCATGGCAGTTGGAGTGCTGTACACCACCGAGCATATCGTAGTGTGTCAGTTTACCTCCTGGCTTTGTGCTTTTTTTTATCAAATGGTGGGAGATTAATATGCATTAATTTTTAGTCTTTGAAAAATTTTTAAAAGGTGAACTTTTGACCTCTGTGTTTTTGTGTCCAAGTATTACTAATTTTTAATTAGTATTACATTCTCATTAAGGGAACAAGCTTTGCCTGTTTGGGGAATAACACTTATTTGATTATTTCATTGTGGAAATCAGTTGAGTAGATGAGCTACACCCTGATCGGTTGAGTACTAGGTGTGCCGAAAAGCATTTGAAGTACAGTAGAGATTCATGAGATGACGAGGAAGGAGGTGCAGGCTCTGGAGTAAGTTACCTGTGTTTAAATCTCATTATTGTGGCCTTTGAACTCTGAGATCAGTTATGTAATGCTTTCAGGCTTCAGGTTCCACATTGTGAAGGAGAGATCTGAGTAGTACTGCCCCTGTCAGCACTGGCCGGGCATGCCTGTAATCCTGGCACTTGGATGAAGCAGGAGAGTGACAAGTACAAGACCCACCTGGGCTACCCAGTGAGACCTGACTCAAAAACTAGAAAGCCTAGGGGTATAGCTGAGTGTTAAGGACCCTGGTTTCAATTGCCATACTGTCAAAAGAAAGAAAAAGAAGTCCTCCACCTAGGAAGGTGGAAGGAGATCAGGCCTGGTGGGTTTTGCACAGTGAATGTGTGGAGCTGTAGGGAAGTCTCCACCATTGTTTCTCAGGTACGTGGATTTGGGTATTTCAAAGAGCAGACAGATGGCCCAGGAGATAGCTTGGCAGTCTGTAAGCGCCCACCTGCCAAGTGCAAGGGCCCAGGTAAGATCCCCAGTACTGCATGCTGTGCCAGCCCTGAAACTGGGCCTGGTGGCACACACCTATAACCTCTACGCTGGGAAGGCTGAGACAGGAGGATCACTGAGTCTAAACTGTGTAGTGAGACCCTGCATCAAATAAATAAATTAATAACATAAAAAACAATTAAGAAAAGGAAGAGCAGACAGCTTTGTCTTTTCAGTTTTTCGAAGCTGATGAGCAGCACAAGCATGTGGAAGCGGAGCTGAGGAGTCGACTGGCTGCCCTGGAAACAGAAGCGGCCCAACACCAAGCTGTGGTTGATGGCCTGACCCGGAAGTACATGGAAACCATTGAGAAGCTGCAGAATGACAAGGCTAAGCTGGAAGTAAGGCCCTGGTGTGGCTGTGTGTCATTAACGTGCAGCGCCGATGTGTGCGAACTGCGGGGCCACGTGGGCTGCTGCCTGAGTGTCACCAGGTGTGCCCCTCTCTGTCTCTCGCCTCAGTAGCTGATTTTCTTTTCCTCAGGTGAAGTCTCAGGCTCTAGAAAAGGAGGCCAAGGACTGTCGACTCCGGACAGAAGAATGGTACGTGGAAATGTGGATTCTGGGGGCTCTCTGACCATTTTAGTCCATCTGGGCAATAAGCTTGTTGATTGGTGCTGCCCTCACCCAGGATGGGGGCCCTGAAGTGAGAACCTGAAGCCTGGATTTTAGTTTTCAACCCATCCTCGCTGCGTAGCATCTGAGCCTAGGAGGTGGGGGAGTGGGTCACCTCCAGGGTTCTCGTCACCTTTCTGCGGCTCTGCACGCCTGGTAGGGTGGCTTCCATGTTAGTCCTGGCCAGCAGGTGGTTTAGGGATGGAGTGTTCTGGGGCTCCCTCCAGAGCACTGGTACTTTCTGTGTCAGGCCCTGAAGAAAAGGGCCTCCGGGCAGCCCTGGATAGGCAAGCTAAATTGTACTCCTTTCACCAAGCTTTGTATGCACATTTTGAGCGGAACAGGTCATGTGATTTAAATTAGGGATTACTAATTTTGTTTTTTGAGACAAGGTCTTGCTGTATAGTCCAAGCTGGCCTTGAATTTACTGTGTAGACACCCAGGCTGGTGATCCTTTTGCCTCAGCCTCCCAAGTGCTAGAATTGCAGGCGTGTGTTGCACCATGCCTGGCTGAGATTACTGATTCTTAAAGTACTACTTACAGTATATGCAAACATCATCCTCTAATGTTGATTTGGCCTTTTAAAGTTTTAGTAGGATCAAAGAGATTAATTTCTTCATTTCGGTTACATTAATAGAAATACATGATTTCTTCTATGTGTGCCTGTGCTTGTAATTGAATCAAGACAGAAATTATCAGGTTTTGAGCCCCAGGCAACAAAAACAGGTTGAATATTTTAATTTAATTTAATTTAATTTGTGTGTGTGTGTGCAGGATCTCACTACACAGCCCAGACTTGTAGTGATCCTCCTGATCTCTGCCTCCCAAGTGCTGCGGCTTAATATTTTAAAAGTCACTTTATAGTGACACTTGAGTAAACGTGTTATAAAAAGAAAATTTATGATTTGGAGTGGCCATGAGATTACCCTGCACTATGGGAAATGAAGTCAGGGTTGTGTACGATGCTGGCAACATGATAAACTCTTAGAATTCCACAGTGCCCTAGAGTCTCAAGGGCTTTGGAATGCAGGAATGGTGTTCTCTCCTCTTTGCTGTTAGTAGGTGCGTGCCGAGATGTTAGGTGCTGAGCAGAAAGCTGACACCAGCTGATGAGGAAACAAGGGAATGGCTTGCATTCACTGTCTGGTTGGTGATCATGTGGTCTTGTGTTTTTTCTTACAGTCAGTTACAGTTAAAGAATCTTCATGAAGATTTGTCAGGTAGATTAGAGGAATCGTTATCAATCATCAACGAAAAAGTACCCTTTAATGATACAAGTAGGTATCCTGTAAAGTTTTTCATTATTTGCAACTTTAAACCTCTTTCTGGTAGCCAACTGATTAAAATAATTTCTAATCTGTTGGCCAAAAATGAGCCCACAGAGGGTTGCTTTCTTTCTGTTCTTTTAGTTAACTTTGACTCTCCTATTTCATAGATTTTAAGTTATCTGATAATTATTCCAAAGCCAGTCTTCTTGGATAAAACCCATGCAGACAGGTTTTGCTTGTATTTATCCCATCCCAAGGTAGAAGCCAAGTTGCATATAATGTGGTTGTGTGTTTGTACAAGCGAGGCTCTCGTGGTGGTGGGCGGCGCTGGTGGCGTCTGAATCTTTGCCTGGCACTTGGATAGTCAGTCCCCAGTGATCGTGGGATCAGGCTTGGGTAATGATGCGTTTGCTTTATCCCTGGAGTGGGGTGGTAACTTACATACCTAAGAACAATAAAATGAACATTTTTTTAAAAAAACAATACCTTACATGTACAATAGATATCAAATTCATAACCTTTGTTCAAGTCATAGCCTTGAACACAGAGAATAAGTGTTGGAGTTGTTTGTTTGTTTGTTTGAGACAGTCGCACTATGTAGTTCAGGCTAGCTTTGACCTCATTTTGTAGCCCAAGGTGGCCTCCAACTCATGGCAGCTCTGCCTCAGCCTTCTGGTGCTGAGGTGGTAGGTGCGCGCCGCCATGCCTGGCGAATTCGCCTTTCAGCTGATACGCATGTCCTTTTTCTGCAGTCATGACTGAAATTAACTTTTTACTTCCTCTAAATTTTCCTTAGGGAAGATATAGGAAAAAAAGTAGAAAGAGAAGAAGCCACTGGAAAATAGCAATTTGATTTAACACTAAAATGAGGACATGTTATAATTGTATAAAAACCCTAAATTCCCCTTTGGAACAAATGTTTGTAGCATCTACATTAATTTAAATGATCCTTGCATATTTTGATTCTCTGGTTTAAGAACCTTGGCATTTTATTAATCCTCATATAATGTAGTCATTGGGTTTAATAACTTTCTCCTGAACCTCTTGAATTTATCCTCCTTTTCTATTACTGGTTAGTTATTAGTTTGGTTTAAGTCCTTATTGTGTCACATTGTAGGTTACTACTCCAAAATATTTAGATTTTTCTGAGTGCCCAGGTAGCATAGGAGATGCAGAACTTGGCAAGACTGTATCCTCAAGGAACTTATGGTCTGTAGGCAGAGGTAGATGTCGAGATGTCTGGGTAGGAAATGCAAGCTAGAGTGTGCCAGAAAGAAGCCTTGAACAGAGTCTCCTGTCTGCAAGGCAAGGAGCCTCCTGGGCTCAGGGCAAGGAGACTTGAGCCTGGGCTATTAGAGGGCTCGGAAGATCTTGGGAGGAGAAAGAAGAGCCTGGTCCTTTTAGCAAGGCCTGGGAGAAAAAGGAGGTGGTGAAACAGGAAGATGGTGGTACAGGTGACAGAGATTATCTCAATTTCTTTGTTGCTGGGACAAAATACCTGATATGCACAAGTTTAAGGAGGAAAGTTAGCACAGTTTGTAGAGCTTTTGGTCCATAGTCAGCTGGCTTCCAGGCAGGGGCACAGCAGGGAAGGCTTACAGGAGAAACAGTTCATGGTGTGGCAAGCAGAAGGCAGCTCAGCAGCAGCAATCTGTCTTCTCTCTGACCATTTGTATTCCATCTGGGCTCTATGTATTCCATCCTGTTGATTGGTGCTGCCCTCACCAGGATAGGGCTTCCATTATCACCACCCACCTTTAATCCCAGTATCACCTACCCAAATCCAGCATCACAACCTCTAGAACCAGCCACCTCCTAGAAGTCCCACGTATGAGTACATGAGACTTTGAGGGAGTGGGGGCATCTAGACACAGCCATACCAGAAATAAAGGTGCATGTGTGAGTCATAGTGCTTCCTGTCATAGCAAAAACTTGTTGAAGGAACACACCAGGCTGGAGACCAGCTCAAGGCGCCAGGAAGCCTGGTAGAAGAAGGAAGTGTTGAGAGAACACAGCCAATTTAACGGCATTGGAGATGGCTGAGAACAGCCCTGGAGCTGTCAGAATCTGAATGGTGGTGGTGCTCTTCTGGGGAGGGTGTGGGCAGAGGAGAGCAGGCTTGAGTGGCTCAGAGGGGAAATAGGAGTGGAGGTGAAGGTCGTTAAAATGAGGAGGAAGTATGGTCCGGGTGTTAGGAAGCTGTCAGAGGTTACAGCAGCTTCTGGTGCAGAGAGGAGGCTGGGGGATAGGAAGCATCCTGGATAGTTGGGCTCAGTCCCTGGAGCAGTAGTGGACTGCAACAATTTTTAAACAGTGTTGTGTTAGGGAAACTGGTATTTTGGAGGATTAATGTAGTGGCCCCGTGGGTGGTTATATTAGGAGGGAGAATGATTACAGAATGATGATTACATTGTGAGCCTTCCTAAGTAAACTTGATAAGCTCCGAAGACGTATTTGACATGATTTCTCTGACAGGAACACATGGATAGAAAACATCTGTTTTCTTGTCCTGGAATTAAAAAAAAAATTTGGAAAGTATTATTTTATATGAGAAGCCAATGATTTCATATAAATTACATAATTCTCTTGCATTGTGAATGTGGGTTGTTTTTTTTTTTTTTCTTTTTTTAGACAGAGTCTAACTATATACTTCAGGCTGGCCTTGAACTCAGTAGGTAGCCCAGGCTGGCCTCAAACTTGTGGTGGTCCTCCTGCCCCAGCTTCCTGAGTGCTGGGATTATAGGCATGCGCCACCATGCCTGCCTTTGAATATGGTTTTGATCATTTTTAGTTTTCATATAAATCTGATTTTGCTGCAGAGCATTCGTCATTTTGGATTTTAGCTGTTTTTCTGTAAGTGTAAAATGAGAGACCTAATGTACGTTGTTTCTGTTTTGTAGAGTACAGTCAGTATAATGCTCTCAATGTTCCACCCCACAATAGAAGACATCAGGTAAAGGATGAAATTCATATTTTTATGTTTAGCCACATTTATGTCAAACTTTCCAGAAATAAGAATTAGTTGTCTGGGGACATGCTTAATGTACAAATTCATTATTTTATATCATCATATATTTCTTTAAATTGAATAACTTGCTTTTCATTGAATTCATACATATTACAGATTTTCTATGCCTCTTGTCTGGTAGCATTAGAACTGAACTAGAGGATGCATTGCTGTTTTCAGTCAGGCTTTTCTTGTAGGCAGGTGGATCTTGCCTTCAGGGTGGAGGTCAGCGAGGGGGCTGCTCATGTGCTTAGGTGGGCGTGCTGTTAGAGTTGAAGTGTGGCTGGACGTGATGGTGGGGCCTATTATTCCAGCGCTCGGAAGGCTGAGGCAAGAGGGTTGTCATGAGTTAGAGCCCAGCCTGGGCTACATAATGAATTCAAGACCAGCTGGAATTACATAGCCTGTCTGAGTCAATCTATCAATCAACTAAAATAAAAATTCAAATGGGAACAAATGAATTACAAGGTGTGATCACCCTGGAATTCTAGTGTTTTCTCCAGAAGCAGACTTATTAATGTTGACGTAGAATAATAATTTGATGGTTGACTTCAACTGTGTACTTTTCATTTTTAAAGCTGAAGATGCGAGATATTGCCGGGCAGGCCCTGGCTTTTGTTCAGGATCTTGTGACTGCGCTTCTGAACTTCCATACTTACACGGAACAGAGGATCCAGATTTTTCCTGTCGATTCTGCCATAGATACTATATCACCATTGAACCAGAAGGTAAATTTGACTCAGTACTTTTTGTCACCTTGCGCGCGTAGAGAGTTGGTTTTAGACTAGTTCTGTGCATCAGCCAGGAACAGGAGTGGTCAAGAAAAAACTGGAAGCCATAGTCTTTACCCTCAAAGCAAAATACGACAACTGTGGAGTTTTCAGAGTATAAATCCTAGGGAAGAGGCTGGGAGAGCCACTTGTGAGTGTGAGGTGCGATAGCCTCAGGGAGGATCTGAGCAGCTCCTAGAGGTGCGGCTAGGAAAGGTTCTTGCAGACCGTCTGGGCCCTGGAGAAGGAAGGTCACACACGAGGGCAAGGTGGGGCTGGTTCCCTGGAGGGAAGGCAGGAGCCCAGTCAGGGCGGGCAGGGAGGAGACAGGAGGGAGAAGCTAGCGCCAGGTCCTGCTGAAGGGGAGCAGATGGCTGTGGCTCCAGAAGGCCTCAAGGCAGCGCAGCGCAGCGCAGGGCAGGCAGGGTATTCACTTTGTGTGCAGGATTGGGCTCCTACAGCCTTTTACCAGGAAGTGACATAATGAAAAGAGCTGTTTTATTAGGAAGGGTGATTCCTGACATTTTCCTGTCACTCTGCGTAGGCTGCTTTCATTAGGCCTATGTACACAGTGAGTCCCCAGCTTACATTCGAGTAGCCAACTTTCACAGGTGTCCTGTGTGACACTCATTTTGTCAGCTTAAGAACAAATCTATCAATAAATGTAATATACCATATTAACAGAGCCAAGGACAAAAATCATATGATCACCCCGGTAGATGAAATAAAAGCTTTTGACAATGTCCAGCACCCATTCATGACAAAAACCCTACAGAAAATTGGAATACATGGTCTTTACGACAATCTGATAAAAGCCATCTATGACAAACCAACAGCCAACATCATTCTAAATAGAGAAAAATGGAAAGCTTTCTTTCTAAAATCAGGAACAAGACAAGGATGTCTAGTGTTTCCACTCTTACTCAACATAGCCATGAAAAACTTTAGCCAGAGCAATAAGACAAGATAAAATAAATACAAGAAATAACAATAGGAAAGGAAGAAACTAAATTATTTGCAAATGACATTATACTTTATGTAGAAGACTCCTAAAACGCCACTAAAAAACTGCTAGATTTAATAAGCAAATTCAATAGCATAGCTGGATACAAAGTCAACACTCAAAAAACAATAGTCTTCCTATACAGGAATACAAACTCACTGAGAGAGAAGTTCGGGAAAGAACACTTTTCACAATAGCATCCCCAAAAATGAAATGCCTAGAGATCAATCTAATAAAGGATGTAAAATACCTCTATATTGAAAACTATAGTACTCTGGAAAAGGACATTGAAGCAGATACCAGAAAATACAAAGATACCACTTGCTTTTGGATAGGAAGAACCAGTATAGTAAAAATGGTCGTACTTCCAAAACTGTTATTGTAACGGCCGGGATTGGAATATTGCCCATGGGACACCAAATTAAAGGTATTACAGAGCCTTTATTAGTCAATGACCAGAGTACTCCCCTTTTCCAAATTGGAAGGCACAAAGGCCCAGTTCTTTGTTCCCTACCTGCATTTATAGTCTCTTGGATGTTATGGCAACTGGGCAGGAATGTGGTGCCTTTTATATCCTTTAGTGCAGGGAGATTGCAGGAATGTGATGCCCCTATATGTCTTACAGGTGTGAGGTTTCGGACAGAGGGATTTATGGCTAAGCATGGGCAAATAGTCTATCTCTTATTGCCCTTAATTGGTCCTGCCTCTCCTTTATCTCTTACATGTTTGTAAAGTTCTGACAGGGCAGGGGAAGGAGGAATGGGATAATTTAGACGAGGCTGCTTATATGTAAATACTTCAGGCAGGGGTCAAACTAAATTGAATTCTGCCTCAGTCTCTTCTACTTCTAAAAGTGAATAGGGTATTATGCTAGATGCCATCCCTTACATTATACAGATTTTGATTAAAATCCAATAACAGATCTCACAGAACTAAAGAAAACAATCCTAAAATTCATCTGGAACTAGAAGAGACCTAGCAAAGGCAAGGTAGTGGGCATCACAATCCCTGACTTGAAATTATACTGTAAGGCTACCGTGATAAAAACAGCATGGTCCTAGTAATGCAGACTTGAAGATGAGTGGAACAGATTAGAAGATGCAGAAATGACTCCAGATGTACTCAGCCACCTTAACTTTGACAAAGGTGCCAAAAAAATTCACTTGAAGCAAGGTAGCTTCTTCAATAAATGGTGCTGGAAAAACTGGCTCTACACATGCTAAAGATTAAAATTGGACCTATATCTTTCACCATGCACTAAATTAAACTTAGAATAGGTCAGAGATTAAAATATAAAGCGGAAATATTGAATCTGCTGGAAGACAGAAAGGTAAACGTCTTGAAGACATTGGTGTAGGCAAGCACCACATAGGAGCTAGCACAAAGAATCAACAACTGGGATCTCATTAAAAAACTTTTGCACAGCAAGAGAAATCACCAGCAGAGTGAAGAGACAACCCACAATGTGGGGAAAATGTTTGCAGCTATTCCTCAGACAAAGGATTACTATTGAGAATGACAAGGACATTTTAAAAATCAGACCTTTTATTCCAAAAATAGGCATCTAAGATGAATAGAAATGGGCATCTAAGATGAATAGAAATGGGCATCTAAGATGAAGAGAAATGGGTATCTAAGATGAATAGAAATGGGCATCTAAGATGAAGAGAAATGGGCATCTAAGATGAAGAGAAATGGGCATCTAAGATGAAGAAATAAAAACAGCAAATACATGCAAATTAAAACAACACTGAGATTCCATCTCACTGCAGAAAGGCTGTTGCCTAAAAGCCAACTGATGAATGCTGGAGGGGCTCTGGCGGGGGAGACCCCTTCTCCATGGTTGGTGGGAGCATAGAATGGTGCAACCACTATAGAAATCAGTGTGGAGGGCCAGCCAAATAGCTCAGTGGATTAAAGCACCTGCAAGCAGGAGCAGGGGCCAGAGGTTCAATCCCCAGGCCTGCCGTGCCGGCCTCTCTCCTGGGGTGCATTGAGACTGGGCATGGTGGTGTGTGCCTGTAATCCAAGCTCTTGGGAGGCTGTAAACAGGCAGATAACTATGAGTCTGATCTAGTAGTGAGATCCTGAACACACTTGTAGATCCTGCCCTAAAATACAGCAAAAAGAAAAAGAAATCAATGTGGAGATTCCTCAGAAAACTAGGATTGGAGGACCCATTTGACCCAGCTATTCCCCTTCGGAGTATTTTCCCAGAAGAATTAAAAACGTCGTACCACAGTGATATATGTGCGCCCGTGTTTAAGGCAGCACAGTATCATAGCTACATCTTGGAAACAACTCAGATTCTTGTTTTTATCTGAGGAACAGATAAAAAAGATGTGGTCTTTTTATACAATGGAGTACTACTGAGCCATAAAAAAGGATAGCCTGGAGACTTTTAGAGGGAAATGGATGCAACTTGAGACCATACTCGTAAGTAAGATAAGTAAACCAGGCACACATGTATAAACATTGCATTTTCTCCCTAATGAGAAAAACTGAAAGAATAAATAAGATCCAAAATGTACAATATTGTAAATTGGGAAGAAACTTTAAAAGGAAAGAGAAACTGTGATGATGGAATGGAGAAAAGGAGAAAAACAAAAAGTCTGGACACACGAGACGAGAGTGACACTGATTTCTCTTAATTCATGGAAAAGAAGGGTTTGTGCTAATGTTGGGACAATTAAATGCTGACATCTTTTTTTCCCTTTATTTTTTATTTTTTATTTATTTTTTATTTTTTTGGTGGAACCGGGGATTGTGACATCTTTTTTTAACTCATTATTAACTACTGAAAATCAATAATTATACAGCATATTAAAAATTGTAGACAAATATTGAAATGTGAAAGATACAAGATGTAGACAGAATGAATTTTAGAAAAATATTTCTAAAATGAATACATAACGAGATTAATAATATATTGCACATTGTAAAATATGATTTACAAACTTAAATGAATATAACAATAAAAATTATCTAAAATAAATATGAAAAATAATAAACATGAAGAAGAGTTTATGGATCAGTCATATAATAGTTCACTCTGTGCCAAAATCAAGAAACTTATATATTCATATAATTAGAATTCTCAAAGTAGAAGGGGGTAGACAATAAATATTTAAAGATTTAAGATTTCTGAATTTAATTAAAATTATAACACCACATTTCCAAGAAAAATGAACCTTTTGCACAAAAGTATGAATAAAATCATACTAAGATACACAAAAATGAAATTGTCCAACACTAATTGTAAAGAAAAGTCATTAAAGCATATACAAGAAAAAACACTAGCTGTGGAAGAACAAAGTTAAGTAGCACCTTATTCCACATTAGGAAAAAAACACCAGCAAGTGGGTAAGATACTGGACTTATCTATTCAAAGGGCTGAAAAGAAAGATGTGTCCTCATTGAATTTTATATTTAGCAAACATACCTTTGAAAACTAAAAGTAAAATATTTTCCAGTTACACAAACTCGAAATACTCTAATGCCTCCAGACATAGCATATAGAAAATAACAGCGACCATAGTCCAGAAGGCAAGAGAAGTGCTGTGTGGCCCTGGATGAAGAAGAAAGAGCTCTCAAAATGGTGCTTATGCAGGACTATGTAAAGTATTAGACGAACCCATTTAAAAGGTCATTGGAGATTTCCACAAAATGGTATCAATCTTACGTCAGGTTATACACATAGTTTTTCATATGTGTGTGTGTCTTTGTGTGTTTGTGTGTGTGTGTGTGTGTATAAAAGGCAAGGAAGAACTAATATAAAGGCATTGGAAAATGGAAATACACTTTTTAAAGTTTCTAATACTAGGAGAAAATATACCATGTCTTATAAGTAGATTGTAAGTAAAAAAAAGTATAAATCATGAAACAAAAATTAAAATTAAGGGGCTGG